AGAGAGAGAGAGAGAGAGAGAGAGAGAGAGAGAGAGAGAGAGAGAGATATGAAGTAACTGAGCTACAAAAACGGAATGTTCGTTTCAATTGCAATTCTAGCTATTGCTCTCAACATTAGAGGAATGCGTCAAGCCATTACTTTCGCTCTTGTATGTCACATACAGATGAACATACAACGAAATGCGAAAGGAAACTTCCTCGAAGTGACTTTAAATCGAATTTATTTCTGTTTTTCTTTTCTCTCCGTGTCACTTTCGATTTCTTTAGAGTATTGTGCGAAAAACAACGTCAACAGCAACAAAATAGTAAGCCATTTTCACGAAGCGTCGGTATAATGAAAAATAAATTGAGATATTTGATTGAGTAGATGTTGACCAGTTGCGTCGTTGCTTATCTTTTATCAACTGCGTTGTTAGCCGTAAGCGTAAGCGAAACGAGATAAGAGCGACACTAATTGCTAGTATGTTGGTGTGCGGCGGTGGTGTCGTTCGTTGTATTTTCCTAAAATTCCAAGCTCTCCGGTCGACCGAAAATCGAGGGGAAATCAAATACACACTCACACTTGCAGCCACACGGTATGAGCTTGATTCGATCAATAAATCCAAGGACGTTCAAAAATTTCATTCACAAAAATCCTTTTAATTCATAAAACAATCCGGTTACAACCAACTCGATGGCAGCCCGGCAAACACACAGCAAACAAATGGTAGTACATTGCATATGTACGGTATACATGGCGCTATGTACCCATATACATATCCCCGTCACTTGGCGTACATATATGCATGTCGGGCATGCTATCTAGTCCTGTACCAAAACAGGATAGACCGTATGACGTAGATGTGCCGAACCAAAAATCGTAACAACAAAATCATTCATTCGATGCGATTTTGATGGTGTGTCACTTTTGCCGTGTCGATTTTCTGTTTTTTTCACTTCGTTCCACACCATGTTTTCGATCCCTAATTTCTACTTGGTTTAGTAAATTTGGAACTCGCATTCTTCGATAGAATTTTTTCCATCATTTTTTATGTTTTGTATGGGTTTGTGTTTGCCAAAAAGATGTTTTCGTCGTTCAAACAGCTGAAATTCAAATGAGATTCCATAAAAAGCGAGACATACGCACAGATATTTTTCCATTGCTCTCATGTAAAGGTTTTGATGAGAAAATTCTATTTTTGTCATTAGCAAGCCTTGTCGAGCTTCAAGTGAAATTATTTGTGTATGTGCGGTACGTGTATCGATGTTTACCAATCCAGTTTATGAAAGGCTTAAAAAGCAAAAAAATAACCAGGTAAAATAAATATATATATTTATATCCAGCAATCGCTGGTTCCATTCAGCCGAAATGGTATCATTGTGAATGTGGCGTTTGAGAAAAAGAAAAGAATCCACTTGACGAAATCACCGGCAAATCGAGCAGCATTCTTACGTCAATGGTTCAGTTACACATTGGCAGCTCATGGTGAATTACTCTCGAGAAAACATTGACGATATAACAGATCATAAGGAAAATAAAAAACAAAGTAATAATAGACAATTGTTGATTTTGTACGCCCAAACTTTTTGCAGCCGATTCTGAGTCATGTTTTTCCTACTCATTTCAGTCTAGTATTGAACTGCATCAAGAGAAATCAGAAAAAAATAATGCCTCATCTGCTCAGAATTCTCAGGTGGATCATCCAAGGTATATTTTTAAACCACAGTTGATTCGTTCGATTTTTGATGACTTGTTGCATCATTTCTCATACCAAAAATCCAACTCAAATCAATCGACTCAACCAGACCGTCGCATGTGGGAATAATATTCTGTGAATGAATGAATGGATGAGTAGGATCACGTCAATCGAAGAGCGTAAAATCGTATATTCAACTGACGTACTCTAGACTATGATTCACGTGACCAAATTGATTTGCGCTCAAATTAAAAATCCAAAAGCCGATATTGATGGTAACCCGATCATTGTTACATCATTTCCAATTGTCCGAACAATTCGGATCCAAAGACGTAATATGCACTTTTTTGTTTGTTTTCTACTAATGGAACATAAATATTACAGTCAAATCCAACGATAGGCGAGACATTATGATTTAAAGTTGATCACTGATAAAATCAAACTGTTATGCAAACCATTTCCGGAGCAAAATGTGATGATTTCAATTCGTATAGGAATTCCGTTTTCGTTTGCGATAATGGATGGAGTTAACCAGTTGAGTGAGTGGAGACGGTTCAAAGTTGAAATGTGGAAAAAATACCAAAAACCACAAAAATAGCGTGAGTTTTTATAAAAACAACAATATATTTCAGCGGAAAAATTGAATTTCTTTCTTTATTTAAAAAATAAAACAAATATTTTACAACAATTCCTTTCTTCTAATCACATTTGTTTGAATATTCAAAACTTATAGCAAAAATTATGGCAACAACCAATCGGAATGACTGACAGTTCAACACTGTTGATGTTTGACAATACGCTACAGCAAATGAGTCTATCACATTAACCAATATTTGTTGGAAACGTTTGCCAAAAGAAATTACGACTCTATATTTTGCCGGCACAAAAAATTTAACAGTGAAAGAATAGAAAAGTCCACTGGAATCGCTTTATTTTCTGATTTAAGCAAATTAAATCATATCTATTTTAAAGTCACACGAATAGACACAGCAAAATAAAATGAGAACACGGTCGCATAGTAAGAAAGGTTTGCAAAAGAAGGCTGCATCGAAAACGAAGAGAAAATCACCGAAGAAAATGGGTAAGAAAGTGGCCAGTTCAACGAGAGTGACACGAAAATCCAAAACCTGCTTCACCGATTTGAATGATGATTGCATTGATGAGATTTTGAGACGGCTACCAGCTGTGGAATTATGCAAATTTACAATTTTAAGTAAACGCTTGAAATTACTGGCCGAAGAGATGTTCAAAAGACTTTATTCATTCAAAACCATCACGTTCAAACCAACGGAAACATGTGCCACGGAGTTTGGATCGAAAATTACGAGGTTTGTAATTGTCATTGTTTTGTGTATTTTACAAAAAAAAGTGTTTTTACTCAATTTGAGATACCATCGTATTCGATTTTCGTCAATCAGTTCAGTATTAAATCGACGCTAGTAACATTTCAATGTTTCTCCCTTTCAGCTTGTTCATGAAATCGTTTGGTTCGTATATGCAGCAAATCCAAGTGATTGGCACTGAAAATGCTACGGAAAAGCGAATGGAACGTAAAATGTTGTTGTCAATCGGTGAGAATTGCGGTCCAAATTTGCAGTGTTTAAATTTAGTGCGATTGGATTTGAATCATATAACCGTGTCGCTGTTGTTGAAGACTTTAATCATTGTGCCCCAGCTAACACTGGACGGTTGCCGACTGGCAAGCCGTGATGTTGACGTTTATGAATTGTTGCTGAAGAAATGCCGTCAAATGCGCACTTTAAACATCATTCAATGCAATACATTCGATCACGCCACATGGCTGCGTCGTCGATATACCACAGTGAAAACAGTCCAGGTTTTGCGAGCAATTTTCGAGCCAGCCGATGTTGAAGCATTCTTTCAGTTGAATCCGCATGTGCGTGAGGTTTGGTTTAATGTGCGAATGCCACGATTGACTCATCGATATGATTTGGATAAATTGCAACGATTTCTCATGATCAACGGGTTCGATGAGGGAAACTATTGTTTACGATTTCTCAATACATACACGAAAATCGTGGTCAAATCACTCACTCTGGGACATAATATAATCAGTGATAAGAAATGCACGGCGATTGCACAAATGACCGACATTCGAGAGTTGAAACTTATCGAACCGACGTTGGTGTGCAACAATTTTGTCAACATATTAGCTAAAGGCTTGGAGAATTTGGTCACCGTTTTTCTTAGCGGCCCATTGTTTAGCTTTCAAATTTTGTTCGATTTGTTCAGCAATTTTCCACGACTGGAATTTATGTATTTGCACAACACCGAATTCGATTCAATTTCTGCGGAACAATATTCTGAATTGATTGAGGCACGCAGACGATCAGCTACCATCGAAACAGAGAACTACCCAGTGACAATAATTGTGAGCCGATCGACGCCGGTGTACGCGCGAACAATGTTCCGGAAATTCAAACACAACAAAAACATCAAAGTCATCACGATGAAGTCATCCGAATTTCAAACGCAGTTTTTTCTCACTAACTAAAGGTTTGGCTTCAACACTGTACACAGCACGATCACCACTCACCGTATTATCATCTCTCTCAACGAAGGCGGCTAGTCAAATCAGTTTTGCGCATGCTCGTGTGTGTGTAAATAAATACCACCTGTAAATCTCACGAAAGCTCTTTATTTGCTAAAGTTTTTTGTTTTATTTTTCCTTGTAAGAAAAATTACACTTTTTTCCAAAATACTTTTTTATATCTGATTAATTGAATTGCTATCAAAAAAGAAATCATAATGGTTATATGTGATGATGTTCAATTTTAGGAAATAGTATTTACATAGGGCCAAAAACATGGAAAAAAGTTAACATTATAATAGTTGATTGATCGAAACAAATAAATTAACTAAATTATCGATATAAAAAAAGACGTGTCTGTATTTTATATACATTTGATTTTCCTCTCTGTTTCCATTTTATCAAGAAAAAAAAACAAACAAACAAAATTTCAATCGAATAACAAAGTTTCTATTTGCAAGCGTACTTAATCAGCTAAGACATGCAAAAGTGTCTGGTGTTACGAAAAACAAATCTTGCGAAGCATGTCGGGTGCATCTGACTGGGAGATACAATATGCATAAATGTATGATTTAATCAAAATGAAACGTGAGAATCGGCATCTGGATGCCGAGCGTTTTGTTGTTTTAATTTGCTGCCCGTCTAGTGTGCAGTTGTATGTCTCTCTTTGGTTGTGTGTGTGTGTGTGTGTGTTATCAGTGACTGCTATTTTCGGCATGAATGAATGGTTCTGACTCGGAACGCTTGTGTGTACGCCGTTGCGGTAGTTGTGTTCGGTTTGGTTCAACGCTTTCGGCTTGCTGTAAATCTGGTTCGCTCCGTGTCAATTGATCTTCCGAACATGTGTCACTGTTCTCATTAAGTATGTGTTCGTTGAGGCAAACATCGCGGTCAAGATCAACATCGCTGTTGGAAAATAATGCAGTGGCACCTAAATTTGGCTCGGTCAAAAGTTTGGAATTGTTTGCTGGCAATGATTCCTGTGCCTTCAAATCGGCCACGGTGTCAACAGTTTTCGAGCGTTGCAACGGCGTGAATGGGATCGGTGAAGTTGAAGCGTCGACAATTTGACTGTTTGAAAGATTTTCCGCGTTTCGAGGCTTGGCCGGTGTGTTTGGCAACGGATGAATACCTCCAATGTTCAGGTTAATTGCGATATTCGGTGCATTCGGAGCAGCCGGATTCGATTGACTGCTTGCAGTGGCCGCAGGAGTGGTGAGTGTCGAAGGCATGGTTATATTCGTAGCGGCAGCATTGGCTGCTGCTTGCTTTTCCTTTTGGTGCGACTGCATCAAGTCACATGCTTTGCCCAGCGCACAAATTGTATTGAGAATGCGACAGCTCATAAGGGTTATGAAAGCGATGATTACAAGCAAGACTGATGCAAAATTTTCAATTTTTACCGCACTGTACAGCGCTTTGATCAATACCACACCCAATGGGAACGGAATGAAGCCCATTCGACGTGCAACCAAATCTGAATGATCGGAAAATGCGTGTTTTTGACGCGTTTGGGTCATATCATATGCAAGTGAAATGGTAAACTCTTTGTATACATCGGCTGGAAGCTCATTGAAACGGGTTATGAAGGCATGTTTTATCCAATCAATCAGAAATTCCACCATCATTACCGAGAAACAGTCGGTAAACAGAATCAAAAACTGTTCACTGCTCCAGTTAAACTCTTTCATCGTTTGAATAACCACCACAAACAGTAGAACGGTCAAATGGACACGTTCACGCACATCTGCACAAGTGAGCTGGAATAAGTTGTTTTTATCGAATTTCTTAAACACACTTCCTTTTAGCTCCACAAAATTATTCGACATCATGATACCGAGCAGTCCTTTGTTGTCCGAATTGATGGCCACATTCAAGGTAGTCGCTTGAAACATGATCAAACTGCTGTGCAGAATGACGTAGAACAGTGCAAAAATGATATGTCCAAATAGACCAATGCGACTGCGGCTGCGTTCCTTCGGCTCAGTTGCTGTCCAAAATAGGGCGTCGATCGTATCTTGAAATTGAAATGTATATTTTATCATCCTTTTTTCGTTTCGGTTTGGTTCAGATTTGACTGAAAAGAAAGTTACCTTGTCCAAATGCGCAGAGCAGCCGATCGCCGACTTCAAGCATATTGTAGAAAATGTATAATTTTATCACCGATTGACTTTTGATGATGTGATACATGCGATTTGTGTCAATCATGTTAAGAATGCAAATGGCGGCTATCCAAATGGAGCCCTTCAAGAGATCACACACCTCGGCCGGCGCCAAAAGCCGTTGACCGCGTCGTCGCAGGCCAAAACATGTTGCAATCGGACGCCATATCACAGCACACACGGCCAACACATACCGAATCAGTAAAAATGTGTGAATATACAAAAAGGAGTCGATACACTGAAGCACCCCATAAACCATAAACTTTTCAAATTCACGCGGGATTTTCATGAATGTGTAGATTTTTTCGCGTCGTGCTGAAAATCGCTCCTCGTCGTGTTCTGGAACGTAGCCGCGCGTGAGCTCAATTTTGATAAAGTCAAAAAATGATCGATCATCAACAGGTTCTACATAATACGCAAATGGGTAGGAAAAAGAGACAGATAAAAATAGAAATGACCAAACGGACTGCGAACAAAAATATGCTATATGTGTTTATCATTACTGTACCTTTTTTATTGCTTTCGTCGGCATTTTGGTCGCCAAACTTTAACTTTCTCCGCTCGGGATCATCGAAAATATCTTCGATATGATTATCGAAATAGTATGCATTAAGGTCACCGCGAAAACGTATCTTTTTAGTTGACGGTGTTATTAAGTCATCGTCTTTTTTCGTCATGTCGTCGACGTACGCTAATTGTCTGATTGCATATGTAAAAGCAATCCACTGCTATCGAACGTGATGGATGAAACAAAACAATTGTGACCCAATCGAATCGAAAAATAATCGGGATTTTTTTTTCAATGTGTTTTTATGTGTTACACTCTCGCTGTTTGCAATCGCCTTGACATTAGCCATACAAAGAAAAATAAACAACGTCGTTTGAAACGTCAAACGAATGCACATCTGTTCATAAAACGTCAAACGTCGACACTGCGACACGTTTACTTGGATCAATGCGAATTTTAATGGTTTTTAATGCAAAACAACAATTTCACTGTCAATTTGCAATAACAAATCGAATTCAAAAATGATTTTTGTGCAATCGATTTTTTGCGTAAAATTTTCTCACGTCATCAAACAAGCCAACGTACGGAACGCGTTCGCATTAAACTAACGCATTGGATGTGTCAAACAGTGCTTGACAATCGAGTTAGCCACAACATAAAAAATTGGAAAAACTAGAATCTGTACGACACACTCTCTTTGTAATTTACTTGTGAAAATTTACATACACAGCAAGTGGAGAGAAAGAGAGACATCATCACCAAATGACAACAAAAAAAAATTGGTGCAAAAGGGAAAATTTCGTATTGCAAACTCTGTTGTCATCTATATAATAATTGTGTGGTGTATATACTCTCAGTGTCACGCATTTATTTTTAATTAATTTATCGTTTCGATGATGTCCAATGTCAGATCAATATTTACGGAAGCGTTGTAATCGACGTTGAAACACCTTCTAATTGCGCGATTCAGTGCGAGCTGTGTTCAAAACAAAATTTTCTCTACTTGCTTGCCAGTAATCCATTTGCATTTGCAAGCATTTGTGGCGAAAGAAGTAGGAAATTCGTGTTAGAATAATCAATTTTTCCCGTGTGCGTGTGCTGTTTGCTTGGTTCCTTTTGGTTGTCAGCAGATTGTAGATTAGAATGAGTGAAAATGAAGCGACGACGGCGATCAAAGAACATAAAGTGATAATCATAGGTGCTGGTATGGCTGGCCTGTCTGCTGCAAATCATATGATAAAAAATGGTTTGACTGATTTCCGGATTTTGGAAGCTCGAGGTCGAACGGGAGGTCGAATCGTTTCGATCGATCTTGGTGCGGAAAAAGTGAGTAGCCCAATTCTAATCGATGTGTATGCCTCCACAATTACATAATATTATTTTTCTTCTTAGATTGAATTGGGTGCAAATTGGATACATGGTGTGCTTGGGAATCCGATATTCGAATTGGCCATGGCAAATGGATTGGTTAGCATACTCAATGCACCAAAACCACACAAATTGATTGCAACGACAGAAGATGGTAAACAGGTGCCGTTTGCAATACTCCAAGAAATCTACGAAGCCTATGTGTGCTTTCTGAAACGGTGCGAAGAGTATTTTCTGTGTCAGTATATACCACCGCCGGATATTGACAGTGTTGGCGAGCACATCAACTATGAAATCGAATTGTATTTGACCAATCAACCGGATGCCGAGGATAAACACTTGAAAAAATTGATATTCGAATGTTTGCTGAAGCGTGAAACGTGCATCTCGGGTTGTAATAGTATGAACGAAATAGATTTATTAGAATTAGGCAGTTACACGGAACTTCAGGGCGGAAATATTCTGCTACCAAAAGGATACAGTTCGATACTTGGACCGATGACACAATCGATACTGCCCGAACAAATAGTGCTCTCTTGCCCCGTCAAAACCATTCACTGGAAACGAAAATCCACCAGCAAGGCGGACCGGGCTGAAATGGCAATCGGTGGTTTGGAAACGGTCGATGAGGTCGATTCAGATGATTCGGATAAGACAGTTACCGAAGTACCCATCAATCGTAGCTCATCCAATGAAAATCACCGTCATCGGGATAAAGTGAAAGTTGTATGTGACAATGGCACCGAATACTATGCGAATCATGTGATTTGCACCGTTCCGTTGGGTGTGCTAAAGGAAAATCATCAAACATTATTTGAACCGGAGTTACCCCAATACAAATTAGAGTCGATTGATCATCTGCTGTTTGGGACAGTGGATAAGATTTTTCTAGAATACGATCGACCGTTCTTAAATAAGGATATTAGTGAAGTAATGTTGCTGTGGGACGATGACGTCACCGGTGCAAGCGTCGAAAAGAATTGGTTTCGAAAAATTTACTCATTCTCAAAAGTTAGTGAGACCATGTTGCTAGGATGGATTTCGGGAAAAGAAGCCGAGTACATGGAAACGTTGTCACACACTGTAGTGGCCGAAGTTTGCACCGACATTCTGCGGAAATTCTTAAAAGATCCCTTTATACCGAAACCAAAGAGTTGCGTATGGTAAGTGGGATCAATCACGTCACCATTCCTTCAGTTCAATCACATTTATTCCTGTTTCATTCCAAATGAAAGGAAAAACTAATTTCCATCAATTTTCTTTGCAGCACAAGTTGGCATCGTCAGCAATACTGCAGAGGTTCGTATACGGCGATTAGAGTCGGTGGCTCTCAGGAAGATATTGATAATGTTGCACAACCATTGTATTCATCGCCATTGGATTCGAAGCCAGCCGTGTGCTTTGCTGGTGAACACACACACTGTAATTTCTATTCGACCGTTCATGGGGCCTATTTGAGTGGTCGAACAGCGGCACAGATTCTCTTAACGCCCGATTCACCGCAAGAAGTTGTTCTCGAATCGGACACAAGTGATTTAAGTTCATGGATTCAGGGCATAGCTCTCGAATAGAAAATTCGGTAACGATTGCTCGCTGCGCTTGCAACATTTTACTCCATTTCTCAACATGCGTGCGCCTACCTATTTGTGGCATGTCACTTTGGTTTTGTACAAGTAATAGTTAAATTGAATTTACTAATTTATTGTATTTCTTTATGACATTTTGCATTTGATTTGGGATCGGAGAACATTTGAAGCATTGCATGAAATTCGGTATGAACGAACCAAGCGGAACGGAATGCTATAGAATCATTAGAATCGCGTCAACCATTGGAGAATTTTATCTTTTTTTTTGTTTTTTAGACAATAATTTTAGTGAATGCAAAATGATCAATTTTTTTTTAAAGAAGAAGGGAAATTTTATTGATTTACATACATTTATTTTGAGTTGCAACAAAAAAAAACATTTTTATCTAGTCTCACAAAATTGAATTAATAAAAAAAAGTGAATTGATTGATTTCCTCCCCAAAAGAGAATGTGTAACATATTTTTAAAAACACTGAGAGAGTATTAAAATAAAATACGACGAAATTTGATGATCAGATGAAAAGAATGATTTGTTTATTGTGAATTTTCTTTTTTTTTACTCTGAATTACAGCTTTAACCTTGGGATTTGTATAGACCTTATGAAATAAATGCCATTCAAGTGACGTTTAATCTCTCATTTCGCCTTCTTCGTCGTCTTCACTCACACCAGAAATGTACAAAACATTGTTGCATCGAATCAACACCTCACCCAAATGACCTGCGTGAATGAAAAAGAATCAATTTGATTTAGAGTAATTTTACTCGTTTACATTTTATTCTTGAGATTTTTTGGTCAACATACCTGTCGATTGTCCATCAATGAACTCTTCTGTGTTTGCCAATTGCATGTTCATGTAGCCATCGACTGAAACCAGATATCCTCTGTATTCATGGCCCCACTTGAGTTTCACTTGCACTGCCTTCCCTGTCAACCCATTCAAAAATGGCTTTGGGTTAATTGGCATAGCCATCGACATGATTACTGGTTAAATGTTCTTCCTTAAAGTCGACTCAAAAAAATAAATGCTTCAGCAACCGTTTGAGGTTATGTCTTCGATCTGCAATGAAATCAACCAATGAAATTTTCAGCCAAATTTGTTCCAACATTTTTCACACTAAACAACAATATTTCATTTATATTTGAATTAATTCCGTAATTTTTCCAACAAAAAAAAATCACAACTTTACCTTATATTTCGAATCGAACCATTGGACAACGTAAAGACAAGGCGAAATGTAATCGTTTACACACCACCAAAATGCTATACTGTTTGAGAGCTGTCAGTGAGGGAAGCGGCAAACAAACAACGTTCTGTGTGTGCATTCAATGCAAAGTGTCAAATGTTTTTCTCTCTCACCGTGTGACGTCTGCGGTACGAATGCGTTCGCTCTGAGTTTTTGCCGAACGCTTGTTTTATTTCATCACAACGTTTATCCCTGTCGGTGCTACCACAAACTTTTCTATTCTGTACATAGGTCTAACAAAGTAAGAAACGATTTTAGAAACAAACAGAAAAATCAATTGTGTGAAGTTTTGGTTAGAAAAAAAAAATTGTGATAAAAAAAGTCGTGTCTGGTGCGTCAGAACAAAAGAAACCAAGTCGGGAAAAAATTTTTTTAGATCGGTAAGAAACGTAGACAAATAAGTTGTGGAATTGAAATCATTTTCGACAAAAGTCAGAACAATAGAATTACCCTGATGGAGAGAGAGAGAAAATGGTTTCATTTATTGAAGAGTTGGTCGTAGATTTACCTTTTTCATTTACACGTTGGCATGCAGTCAAGTAGAAAAGAGAAAGATTTTAATGCATCTGTGCAAAAAAAGCAGAATTCCAACGTATTTCGCACACATTGAGCAATATGTACGCGAATTCTCTCCTTTGTCTCGCTTTTGCATCGCATGCCGGTGGTGACACGATGATTTCTCTGCCGTTTTTTTTTTCTGCTGTGTGTGTTCGAATGTATGTGTTGGAATAATGGCTAGAAAAAGCCGAACTACAGAAGACTCAAGTCTATGGAGACAAACGGAGGAAGTAATCGAAAACATACATCCATTGTTTGCAATTGCAAAACTCTCTCTCTCTCTCTGGAGTTTGCGTGTCCGTGTTGGTTATGTGTCTTTTTTCCTGTTTATTCGTTCCGTTCCGTTCGCTTCCTTCTTTATCCCCTTGATTCACCATCATTTGAATGGCATTGTCGAAAAATGTCTGTAAGAAAACTGGAATTAGCATTGAAATCATCGCATCCGTGCGCGCCATGCATATATATACACACCACACTTACATATATCATGTGCATATATACGCGAGAACCGCAGATCAGACGAATCGCACACACAGCTTGCAATACGCATGCATTCTCGCGAATACACTTTTGAATAGCATTCAATTGGTTTTGCGTTGTGCAGAGACCGGTCAACAGCCGTTTCACACACAAACACAAATACATTCAACACACAGACAGACACTCCGAAGTCGCACCGTGTAATCGAAATTGTTTTACCATCCGAAAGCCGAGAGAGCGAAACGACGGCAAACTCCATCTCGAAAAAAGACGTCGCCAACCAGACGAAAAAAAAAGTTCATTGCAGACATAAAATTTCTGTGTGGTCTTCCTTTAAAAGAGAGAGCGAAATTTTCTTTGGTGCGACGACAAGGGCGACTATTTTTAACCAAAATTAATTGAAATTAATAAGTACATTTATCAACCTATAAATTAGTGCTCAAAAATTGGTTCTTTTCCCATTTTATTTTGAATTGCAGTTTCAAGCTGAAATTTTGGTTTGAATAGACGCTTTTCTGTGTTTTCGCTGGTCAATACAACAAAAGGAGTCGAACGACAAACGATATCGCAAAAATGCTGGTCGCTTTGGAAAATGCCGATGAAATTTTGCAAATTTTGGATCGATTCACCAAACAAAAATCGAAAGACATCCCAGCCGAACTAGAAGAATACATTAATTATGTTGCCAAAACCGGAGACACGGTCTATCGCTGGCCCACCGTTCAGTATTTGTTCCGTGAAAAATTGCGAAATGTCATCAAAGAATTTCACGACACCACCGCAAGTATCGAAGGTATGTGTGACTTGATCTCGCCCATTTTGTTTACTTTTGTAATTCGATTGTGGGTGGATTTTTTTGTTCTCGCTTGGTTTTTTTTTCGTGTTTCAAACGAAGATGCTTATATTTTTTTGCTGAAAAAGTGTATCTTTTTCCAAATTTACATGTAACAATTTTTTTGTAAAAAAATTAATTTTCACAATGTTTTTTCATCATTTCTTTGGTATTCAATTAGATCTTCCCCAGTGTCCGAATGTGGACCAATTCAATTATGAGTCCATGAAAACATTGCTGTTTGAACGCTTCGATAATTTCCAAGCGGCACCGTTCACCATCCAACGTTTGTGCGAGCTACTCACTGACCCGAAGAAACACTACAGTCGCCTCGATAAATTCATGCGCGCGTTGGAGAAAAACATTTTGGGTAAGCCATTTGCTTTCAAGTAAACATTGTTTGAGTAAAAACTGTAGAAGAAAGAGGATTTTATATTAATATTTTGGGATTTTTCAGCAAAAAAAATCAGAAAGGATTAAATTTTAATCCACACAAAACTTACAAGTATTAAACTTTATAATTGTTGGGACTCCCAACTGAAGACCATGCCTATAGCCCGCGAGAATGCAGATGGTTTTTGAATTCCCGCTTGATCTCGGATAGAACTTTGTGTTGATTGTTGATTCTGAAAACCATAACAATTGCAGATATGAATTACTCAAAATTTATCGAGTAAAAGCCAACATTGAGCATTGCTTAATGAATGAATCTCACAAATTAAATGGAAAATACTCAGTTTATCAATTACAAACTTAGATTATCTGGTTTGCTGGTGGAGGCGCTGCAGCTGCTCCGTTTTCCTCTTCTTGCACCGATCTCTTGAACGCTTGATGTAGCTCAACGCCTATTACTGCACACCAACATGTTCGTATTCAATGAGTTTATTGTTAATAGTAAATTGAATTGATATCTTTGGTTCAAACAATCATACCTCTGTGAAGAATGTTCCGACCAGCGTTGACATCGCGATTCCATGTCATATTACGCTCATTTGCTGGCTTTTGTTCATACCGCCGGAATTCGGATGCCTTACGCACACCACGACGGTGTGGTCGACGAGTATTCTTTCGTTGCTTTGTCACCTGCCGATTAGTTTTGCGCGAATGGATGTGATTGACAGCTTCAGTTGCTTCAGGCACTTTTTCACACCCACGACACAAATAATACCGGTACTTTTTCTTCACTCGACCGGCTTTTTTTTGGCTGTTCCAACTCTCGGAAGCACAATGAACACAATTTTGTAGTGCGAAACTCATCGACCCAGAACACTGTGCAGTTGTGACGTCGGCTCATTTTCTCGAACAGTGCTCGGACTCGTGTTCGACGGTAGCCCTTGGCTGGCGAACTTCCAGGCAACGTTGCATTTCCGGCGAAGACAAACGTTTGTTTGCCATTAATCAATTGCGATGCGAGTTTTTCCAATTCTCTTTCGGTTGCAATGTATTGCAACAGATCTTGCAGAGCATATTCATACTGTGTGTATGCTACAAATTTTGCATTGAAGTGACGAAGAATGTTGCCTGCGTATACGTTGTAATCTGCTGAGCGTGGACATGGCCGATCATCGAATCTTTCGCGGTGACTTTTCATTTGCTCATCGATTTGGCGGGTCAGTTCGCGTCGCTTTTTTTCGCGCTGGTGGTATCCAATAAGGCGATGATATTGTCGATTTGTCAAACGAATTTGTTGAAAACGCCGGATATCATTTCGTGCCGACTCTATGCAACTGTGAAACGATTGGCACAGCAAAATAAATCCGAAAACATTCGTTTGCATTGTATCAACTGTAATGAATGACTTCCCCACACAAAAATCAATAGCAATTTTTGATAAAATTCGACGCATTCAAACTCTAGGGGAATATCACGTTTAAATTATTTCAAATATTTCAAAAAAAATCCAATTTATCGCTAAGAATCTGTCGTATGAAATATGGTGGATATTTGTGAATACGGCGGAATATTGTGGATTTTTGTGATTATGAATAATATTTAAATGTATTTATTTGGATTTAATGCAAAAAATCTCAAATATCTCCAGAATCCACAAAAATCTGATTTATTTATTCGAAATATTCGAAAATATGTCATACAATTGATGTTTATTTCAAATATCTCAAATATCTCACAAGATTCAGGAGCGTGATATTCCCCTAGTTCAAACTCTCAAGAAAATAATATTCTTTGTCAATGCTTCCGCAAACCACTTTTTCGTTCAGCAATTTATAAATCAGAAACAAACAACACTTAACCCTCTAATGCATTAAATTTTTCCAGGGCTGGGAGTACTGGTACTTGGTTGATTTTTGGCCATATATATTTAAAAAAATATTCATAATCCTAGATTCCTCATGGTTTAGTCAGGAAATGCGATTGACATAAATCAGAGAACAATCAAATCCATCGTTTAAAAATGTCAAAAATGTGTCTAATTTGAAGTTCGAATAATTCATTTTGTCAAATTTTTGTTTTTGCACACATTTTTGTTTGTAACTTTACAATTAGACTACATAGACAAATATTGCCAAGACAAAAATAAAGAGAAAACATTGACGAATAAAAATTCTCTTTAAAGCAATGTGATCCGATGTACGGTTTACGTTCTACAGGCATTCAAATGTTGCCCGTCTAGAGGCGGTTGTATGCATTAGAGGGTTAACAATGCGAGGTTGTGTTTGCTGTATTTCACAATTATTTTGATTGGCAAATTTTATGACAAGTCAGTGTTGCCTGAAACGACTGCGCAGCAAAATAAAACCGGTGACAAATTCGTTCAATATGTTCGTATTGTATTTGACTGTTACAATGACTTCGATAGAAAATTACAAAGGATTGATAGATTTGCTAACTGAGCCTTATTAATGAATTAAAAACATTTGTTATTCGTATTGCGTATGTAAATAGTTTTTCTGATTGAATGATAATCACTTCGGATGTTTCTGCTGAAAAACCCAAAATTATTAATATAAAATCTCTTCTCTTTACCATAGTCAACTAATGGAACAGCCTTTATATTGATTTCAGTTGGAATACTTTTTGTCAAGAAGTATCTTATACTATGTTTTATATTCTAGTTGGAAAATCCCAATGGATTAAATAAAAATCCCATTGAAATTACAGTGTAGCTTGTATTTTTCAGTTGTGAGCACAGTTCCACCGGGTCGTAAAATGGCCAATGGCACAGAAGACAATGATATCGACACGGAAATCAACATCGATTCGGAGGTGACCAAGAGCGAGGAAAAGCGACAGAATGGCAACAAAGAGGAACACAATGAATTGAATTCAACTGAACACATACCCGAGGGCGGTGAATCCTCATCGGCTGCACAGGCACTCACATCAGAGGACATCAAGATAGAGGAGGCCACAAAGGTTGAACAAGATGTTTCTGAAAAATTAACAGACGCTGAGCAGTCGGGTGTAAGTGTGGAGCCAAAAACAGAGACCGAAACTGCAGCCGTAGCTGCAGAGACTGTAACCACAACTGGAAAAGATGAATCGAAACCGGTGGAGGCGGTTGAACCGGCGGCCACAGTAAACAAAGAGAGTGTCATTCCAAAAGTAGAGAACGCCGAAACAATTGACGACAAAGATGAAAAGAAGGCCGATTCGAGCGATAGCGTTAAAATCGAAGCCGAAGTAAAGGCCGAAAAAAGCATTGAAAAGACCACATCCGCTCCAGTGGGCGAGGAGGTGAAACCAGAGGAGGGAATCAATGAAACGAAACCGGTGGAAATTGAAAAGCCTCCAACTCCAAAGCGTCGCAGTGATGATGAAGAAGATGCTGATGTGGTTAGCAATGGTTCAAGTGCGAAAAAGATCCGGCTCGAATTGGACGATGTCAAAGAAGCGGAGGAGGTCTCCAAAGTGGCAACTAAAGCAGAAGAAACGGCAACTACAGAACCAGAATCAGCAGCCATTAAGGAGCCGGTCGCATCATCAGAAGTCGATTTGCCGAAGGAAAGTGACATTCTTGAATCGATAAGCACCGAAATTGACGCTCAAAAAGAAAACGAACTATTGGAAGATGTGGTCGATTCGACATTGACAGCCACCGAAAAGGATCCAATCAACATTGACGTCAAGCCTATCGCCGACGCTGAAAGTGTACTCGATTGCGAGGTGCCAAAACCAGCCGAAGAATTGCCTGCCACCGAAGATTTATTGAAAACCGACGCACCTGTGGCCATTCCATCCGATCTAGACTTTACGCCAGACGAAGCTCTCAATGAATTGGTATCGTCTGACATTTTAGCAGCTATTCCAGAGCAGCAACCAGTCGTCGTTGAAGAGGTTAAAATGAACGATGAACCAGCAAATGTTGTTGAGCCCGTAGTGGCACCAGCCGATGAAATGACCGTCGAAAATACCGAAACCAACACTGCGGAAGCTGAAAATGCAATGGAAGCGGCTCCAATTAAAACCGACGAAGAACAAATGGACGTCGACGAATCGAACTCAGTCGATGCAATGGACTTATAAACATACCACATCGATCGATATCGGCTTAGATCATAACACACACACACATTTACTCACAATTAAATATAACACACATCATATTCGAATTTTTCATACAAACAAGACGGAATGGAGCGACACATCGCCACCAACACACACAAACACACGTTTATACGTAGAATTTAGCATTTCGTATCATATGAGTAACCCCCAAACAATTTTTTATAAACGTTTTTCTTTCGTCTTTCTTTTTTTTTGTCAAATTTTTTTTACCGCATTGGCAGAACAAACAATTTTGTAGAAACTGATAAGGTCAAACGAAACAAACAAAAATAACTACTAATTTATCATAAGTATAATAATAAAGGTATCAATTTGCATTGTGTAGACAAATAAATACACGCAAAAAAAACGACATACAACAATTCCGACACAAATCTCTGGCAACATTTTTATTTTCGAATCCGAAAAAGAAGCACCAGCATCAGCAGCAACGGCGATAAAAGCAGACGAAGAAGAAAACCATCAACAAAAGATCATAAACATTCTTGCGAATATAGATTAGTTTTAGTATTCAATGGATATTCACATTATAAATTATTATGGTCATTCAATAAATAAAACGAACCCAAACTCAACTGTGTCTTATTATTCTAATAAGTTTTACTCTCTCTATGCATATGGGGATTGCTTTTATCTTTAAATGTAACATTCGTTTGTCTACTTTTGGCTTCCACTGCCAAATATGCCTCGCATCATTTCCATTGGAATCGGGAAAATAATGGTTGAGTTATGCTCGGAGGCGATGCTGTTCAAGGTTTGTAGGTATCGAAGTTGTAAAGCAGCGGATGATTTGGAAATTACATCGGACGCCTCTTTTAGTGCGTGTGCCGATTTCTTTTCACCTTCCGCTGCAATTATCTTTGCGCGTGCCTCACGAGCCGCTTCGGCTTCAGCGGCCATTGCTCTTTGCAACTGATGCGGCAGTCTCACATCTTTTCTGTAAACAAACGATAAATCGTTCATGTGAAACGATTAAATTAAAATTGAGACTAAACGGTGGGAATAAGAGTTGGGATTCGATGCTTACATTTCGACTCTTTCGACCATTATGCCCCACTGAAATGAAAAAATAAAATAAATATAGCAATAATTTGGGAAATCAAACAGCCAACGATGAATTTTAATATGAAAAGTAACCTACCACGTTGGTTGCTTCATCGAGTATGTCTTGCATTACCTTCGCCACGCTTTCACGATCGGATAAAAGCTCCTTCGCATCGAACCAAATGTAAAGAGAGATGAAGATGTAAACAGAAATATAGAAAACTTTTAACCAAAACTACTAACCGATAGTTCTTTCGTTCCAAGGACATTGCGCAAAGTTGATGCTGCCAAAAGTTGCGTTGATTTCAAATAATTGGACACTCGAATGACAGCGAACATTGGGTTTTCTACACGATGATAAACTACAGCGTCTACCGACACTGTTACACTGTCTTTAGTTAGAATTTCTTGAGGATCCACCATACAGGTTACGGTTCGCAGATCGATAATGCGAATTTCATCAATACATGGCAAAATGAAGAAAATACCTGGCCCACGAGCCTCTCCGGATCTGTTTATTTTTTATAATATTTCAAATTACCACATGAGCTCAAGAAACTTTTAATAGAATACAAATCTGTTGAAATAATGAATGTAACGTACCTCAAACGACCCAACCGAAAAATGACAGCTCGTTGATATTCCTTGACAAGGCTGAAGCAGAAGAGAAGCGAAAATGGAAGCGTTATGAACATAAGAAAGAAGGAGAAAAAAACGGCCGTGTTCTCGATGCAACTCGCACAACATCCTTGAGCTGGAAATGAATATTTGTTTTTATTCCGGCTACTACTTTAATTGGAATTTCGTTGTAATCGGTAGTGAAATTCTACGATATTCAAACTTACGGCTGTTGCTTTTCACTGAATATCTGTTTTCTGACGATGGCGGTCTTGGGTATAGTTATATTGTTGGGTTGGCGCCGCGCTTGGATATGGTTGTTGAGTTGGTTTATGCATAATTGTTTTATTTGTTAGCAACTTTTTGCAAATTCACCAAGACAACGAATAGTGGATGAAAACACAAGATGCCCAATGACAAATAATTCTTAAAATATTTCAATATTTATGGCTGATTGATGGCGGAGGTTCTATAGTATCTTTTCGAGTGTGACTGATGAACTAAAATAAAATTTTATTGGTTAAATTATCTGTGTCAATTTACAGGCTACTAGTCGTACGTAAGTATAGGCTACTACTTTTACTTGTCATTACGTTTTTTGCGAAGTAAAGACTTTTTTCTTCTGTATAATTGAAAACAAACGTTCAGAGCGATAACAAATCAATCGTTTTCAGTTTGTTAGGAGAAAAATTAATTTCAATCAACAGGGATCACATATGGTCAGAAATTTTGTGAGCGGGAATTGGAAAAGAAAAATTCTGCACAGTAAAATCATTTCCTAGAATAAAGATTTTCATTGAAATAAATAGCTTTTTGGTGTCAACATAAGAAACTTTTTATGGTTTTTTCCTCCCAATTTTCCATTTCTTGTTTATTTTGAAAAGTTTAAGTCTCCATGAAATGCTTACCAAATTAAGAGTGTATATTTTTCTGAGCAGTTGAAGAAAATAGTAAATGTTTTGAAATCGCTACAGTCCAACAACGAAAGAAAGATTGAGAAAAAATGTGTTTATGTGATGTGTTCGTTTTGTGGCTAACATTTGCTTCGGCGTAAAACATAAAGTGGTTTCTGAACTATATAGCAGGTACATAGGTGTGAATGTTACAAAAAAAAAATCTTACGAGTGTAACGATCCATATATCTACGACAGTTATAAGTTGCAAAAATAAATTTTGCACTAATTTATTTTTATTATCAATGTGAAATCAAAAATAATTTAATTGAATATGCTCCATAGTGAGTGATGGTCGTAGTATGGAGTGTTTTAGTTGGTTCAGTTTTAATTATTCGTGTCGTTCTGATATAAACATACGCATCATGTCCAATGGAACCGGGAAAATGATGGTGGAGTTTTTTTCCGAGGCAATATTGTTCAGAGTCTGAAGATATCGTAGTTGTAAAGCGGCTGGTGACTTGCAGATAATATCAGATGCCTGCTTTAGAGCTAAGGCTGACTTCATTTCTCCTTCAGCAGCAATCACCTGTAGACCGATCGGATTTAAGTTAAGATAATTAGAATTGAAGCATTGGATTAATTGGTTGAGTGTTGCCTACTTTAGCACGCGCGTCGCGTGAAGCTTCAGCTTCCGTTGCCATGGCTCGCTGCAATTGAGTGGGCAAACTTACGTCTTTGATCTCCACGCGCTCAACCTTAACACCCCATGGATCTATGGAAAAAAGAACTCGACAATTATTTGAAAATTGTTTGAGAAAATAAATACAAATTTAACCAACCTGTGGCATCATCAAGGGAAGATTGCATGGTATGGCTAATCGTTTCCCTTTCAGTCAATAATTCCGACAAATTTCGTGTTCCCAATACATTGCGTAACGTGGTCGCTGCCAACAATCTGGTTGAATGGCTGTAGTTTGCAACCTGAAAATGGAATTTCCATTTTTTTTTTGTGAAATGACTTTGTTTCAATATTTTTTTGCAGAATAATTGAAGAACTAACAGAACAAGTAGAACAAAATTGATCAAAGTACCTGAATGACAGCTTTCAACGGATCGGAAATGCGATAATAAACGACTGCATCAACTGAAACGGTAACCGAGTCTTTGGTTAGAACTTCTTGCGGAGGAACATCGAATGACACGGTTCTCAAATCGACTTTACAGCAATTATCGATACAGGGTAACACAAAAAAGACTCCCGGTCCTCTAGCGCCACCCGATCTAAATGAATGAAGCAATTTTCATCATTTCGATATTTTGAATAAATTGTAGATTCATTTTACCTCAAACGGCCCATTCGAAAAATGACCGCTCGCTCATATTCTGCAACCACTTTGAAGCAAATAAACAATGAAATCGGTAACGTCATCAGCATCAACAGCGCCGAACAGATCATTGCAATGATCTCAATGCATGTCGAAATGCTTCTCCGAGCTGAAAATTCCAAAAGAGTTCATTCTTTACAGAGATATTGTAAAATAATACGGAAAATGTTTTTCATCGCAGAGCATTAACCTTTGGCATCCAACTACGGATTTAATTGTAATATGAAACAAGAAAATTCAAAACGCGGTTTTTTTGATTACATTCAAAATGTATCTTTTATTCACATCATACACGGGTGCGGAACATAATAAGAAATGTGGAATGTGGGTTAGCAAAACAAGCTGTCAATCACGTTATTTTGACTGCCTTTGAGATTTATATGCGTATTGAAAACTGACGCTGAGCTTACTGTATATCCTATACAAACTTGTTTATTTTTTCTGTGCAAACGATACTATTGAATAAACACATAGATTCCGAATCATTTTGCTGTTTTTTTTTCTTCTCTGATGAACGTGCGCTCTAATCTATACAGTTATTTGCCGACACGAAAATTGATATTTTGAATTCCGTGCAATTGTTGCTTGAGATTGGTGTTATCCGCCCATTTTGAATTCAAATAGCTATCATCTTCGTCCTCTTCCAGACGTTTCAGTTCCTCCTGCCGACGATATTGTTGCAGCATTATTTCTTTGCGTGCTTCTTCGTCGAAAACTGACTCCCGTCCTGGTGCACCTTCGCCATGCTTCACAATTTTCAAAATACTCTTGCATTTTTCGTTGTTGCCCAAATAATCACTCAATAATTTATCTTCCAACAGTTGACGACCGGCAAACCAGAGCTGCATTTTTGATGGTTCTATGACTTCAAGAGATGCTTGGCTGCCACTTAAATCTTCAGTATTTGTGAATTCCATGCGAATTGAGTCGTGTGGTGGTATATCCATTGGATAAACAATCGTCACGGCACCTCTCAAAATTCCAATAGCATTTTGCACTTGCTTTAGCGTAAGTGGCTTATTTTCACCGACCATTTTCTTTGATACCATATCTTTTGCATCGTTGACAGCTTTGAGCAACACTTCCTGCATTTTCTCCTGCGGTTGACGACCATTGCGACGTCCCACTGGATCCCGATTATATGTCCAACCACCGGATGGTACAACTGTTTCAGCATAATTATCAACCAATTTTAACTCGTCAACTTGTTCGTCGGCTAAGCCCAGGATTTCCGGTGGAAACATTGGACCATGTTTTGCCAATTCCTCCATTTCACTACAAATTCGACCGATTTTCAAACGACCATTGTATATCGCAACGATCTCCTTATTCAATTTCGTGATCGATGTTGCAACCGTGGTCTCGTAGAGGAACTGCGATTCATTGCCACGTTTTATGTGAAGCAGAACCATTTTCTAAAAATTTCAACCAAATTTACGTCCGATGTTTACAAAATTAATACGATCAATATGAACTAGAGATTTCGTTTGAAACAATTTATTTTGTTTCCATGGTGACACAAATGCAAGTACGCTTGTAGAACGTAGCAACTAGAGCGTTCGAGAAGTCAATAGGTTTATGATAAACTATTACTTCACTTCATCAATTCCATATAGATAAACATTTTAAGTGGAACTAGGGCAAACGTTTGATTGGCCACATACTTTGAACTGCACAATACAGGGGAACTAACATTGTGTTAAATTTCTCCGTTTAGATTGAACATTTGGAGATTAAAAAAATTGAAAATATCTCAAAATTCAATGGAATTTGACGCTTGAAGCAAAACAAGATGTGTGAAAACAAATATTCATAAAAATAATTCTATCAAATCACATAAAATCCATCCAACATTATTTCGTTATTCTTCGCACTTTTTGATAACGGTAAATTTTTCGTATATTTTACCTGCAAGCGAATTGAATGAGTAATGAATATGGAACATGTTTCAAACACAATTTCTCGGGCACTAAATTTCATTTCTTTTTTCTCTTTTGCCATTCCATCTAAGAAATATAGTAACAGTTTTTCCTTGATCTAAATCGACCAATACCCTAATTTTAATCTTTTTTTTTCTTCAATTTCCAACAACACGGAAAAATTTGTTACATCACTCATCGCTTGAGACGAATGTACAATTTTTAAAAACATGCACGTTTTTTTGTGCATCACAACTATTATAAAAAGCATCAGAGCTTATGTTGCGATGTCTGTTATGACAATTTACACCTTGTTCATTCTCATCGAATGTTGAGTGATGGAAATAGAATGGAATCTATTTCAGTTGGTTTTTATTTTGGTCGATTTTTCAAAGAAAAAAAGAACGAAAATCGGGAAAAACACTGAATCCATTCGATTTCGTCAACTCCAACTTGACTTTGATATTTTTGGGTTCTTGAATTCACTTCAAACGGATAACAAATCACTTTTATTCATTTTCAACTTACATTTACGAAACCCTTCACCATTCGCCCGAATATCTAATGCCGAGTTGGTGTAAGCTGTTGTACGGTGTTCATGTCTATCATTTCTGATTGGTACCACAACATCACGATTTCTGGGCATTTTTTTCATCGATTTCACTGCTATTTCCTCTCTTTTTATACGACACGAATATTTTTCAAAGTCTCTCGAAAAATCACAACCAATCTGCTCGAAAGGTCTCACCGGAATGAATATCATCGCATCAACAGCGGTGCACATTGAGACGGCAGTTCGTCATGATTTGTTGTTTATTGAAAAATTGCGTAAACAGATGCTATTTCCAGCTGCTTTTGTCGAAAATTCAATTGAACTTGTTGTACGTACCCGACTGACCGCAAGCGCGTGGTGTAGCAAAACGCGGTTCAGGGTATTCATCATAGCGTAGATGCGATGAACAGCCAGAATGATGAGATATATTTAGGCAACGGAAAATAAAAGAAAGTTATCATTTTGCGATGAGCCATAGCTCACTGGCCGCGTAAACATGGCACAACCCATTTCGACACACTATAAAAACACAGATTTATGATTTGTTTACATTGCAATCATTCGGTGCGTTTATTTCAAACTATGCACAACATGTTTTGATCTTGTTTTACATCACTTTTTTTGTTATTGTGAATGAACAATGTTGACTTCTCTCATCATTATGGAAAAACAAAAAAACGAAAATACTCTTTCCCATAAAACCAATCGCATGAATGATTTTTACGCGTACAGAACTTTTTTAATAGAACAAATTACATCTCATGTGCTTAACATATGATCTTATGAATAAAACAGTAAACAAGAACAAATCGCGCTATTCTTTTGTCGAATTAATCGTTCGTTTGTTCTTTTTCATTGCATCTAGAACGTTGGCAAAGCTAGCTGGTTTCTTTTTAACCGATAATTTGGGCGTTGTGATGGTTCGTTGTACACGCATTGTCGGTGGAGGTACGTCATCCATGAAATCAAATTCCAAATTTTTACTGGCTCTGCAATTCGATTGACAGTATTTTATATTAATTATGGAGAATTACCATCAATTTTCAACTAATTTTATTACTAAGACATCTTTTTCAAGCTTCAATCATTGAAAAATAACTTACTGTACTGCGTTGGCGTTCTTCTTAACATCGGTATCAGCAACTTGTACTGGAGTTGGTGGCCGCCTTCCGGGACATTGCCAATCTAGGTTGAGTGTTTCACCTTTATTGAGTCTATGATACATCTTATCCAGTTCGTCTGGTGTTGGTTCGAATTCCTCATGGTCCGGCACACATGAAATACTCCAATTTTCGGTTGATACCATTTTTAACCACAAAACTTTGAGATTATTGCTTATTTACTACTTGAGTTTCTAGTAGAAGCAATTTATGTTGTAAACACACATGAAGTTGGTTCGGAGCAAATGTCAGAAAAAATGTGTCATTCGGACTAAAGATGTCGCCGCAACCTTTGTTTCTTCGAAACATCGAAAATAACACTTCTGAATAAATAACAAATAGTTAAAGTTTAAACGTTCCAGTAATTTGTCGGCGAGGAAACCAATTTTCCTTTGTTTCTACAACATTTTTTTTGGTCAGCGTTTCAAACGATTCATTTCAATGAACTATAGGCAGCTGCATGCATAACCGAATGTGACACTTGAATTGAGAGATTGTGAAAGCATAAACCAATCTGTCAAACACAAACGTACACACTGTGTATCTGGTAAACGACAATTTAGTTCAAATAAGTTGATTCAACGAGTTAAACACGATTTCAAGCCAGAAAACTATAATTTCTTTTGATCAGCAAAGATGAGCGGTGGTATTTGCCATTTGTGCTTCGAAGGAAGTGAGCACATGAAACGTGATTTTCAACAGAATCTACAAAATTCCGAAATCCAAGAGTTCATCGAGTTATTTTGTCAATTTATGTTCAATGTAAGTACACATTGGTCAGCATTCCAAACGATTAAGAAGTGATTCATTTTGATTCCGTTTACAGGACAGTGCAAGCACACTGGATGAATTATGCATGCAATGTTGGGGAAAACTGGACGATTTTGGTCAATTTTGCGAGAAAATCCGTGGCATACATGGCAATCTGGTTGAAGTTACATGTGCGACAGGCATCAATAAATTGGATGAAGGTGCCGACATTTTGGAGGATGAAATTGAAGAACACATATCAACGGAAGAAACAAACATACAATTGCCAATGCTTGCGATCGAATCAGATTTGGGCGATGATGGAGATCCATTGGCCCGACGATGTGAGTCCGTTTTCGATTTAATTTCTTCTTTTCCTACGAAATTCAAACCTTCCAATGCAATCAAAATGGTTTGCAATACTTTTACGTTATTTTTGTTCTTCTTCTTCTTCACTCCAAAACAGTGATGATGACCCCAAAAGTAATCAAAAATCTGGAGGAACAGCTGCACTTTGAGGCAAAGGTCATTTACTTATCGGATATGAATTTTGATCGAATCTCACGATTCCTAACACAGGAGTGTGGCATATGCAAAGAGCCATTTGAGTCATTTGACGATTGCAACGAACACTACCTTACAGCACATGGTCGGTCAGCGTTTTGGAATTGCTGTAATTTGTTGCTAGAGACGCCCTACGATCTTCTCGATCACATTAAATATCATGAAAGTATCGATGTTTTCAAGTAAGTATGGAAGACAGATCATTAGCCAGGATGAGCATTTAGCAAATACTATTTACACATCAAAAATCAGCCCTTTCAATGCGTGGCGACTTACGACGATCAATTTCGAAATGGTTTTTCATTGAACAAGTCTTATTTCATGTTTTTGTTTTATAAAATATCACTTCCTAGGTGTGCAGCGTGTTCAAAATGTTTTTTGAATTCAAACAAACTAAAGTATCATATTCGTCGATCGCATCTCCCGACAGATGGCCCATTCGATTGTAGCATTTGTGACAAAGAATGCAGAAGTTTACGGCTGTTGATGAACCATCACAAGAATCATATTCGAATTGATTGTCCGCACTGCAAAAAACACATATCGGCTGCCAATTATGATCAGCACGTACGAACGGCACACGCCAGTCAATTACCAAAAAAGCGAAAAATTAAAAAGGGAAATGAAACAGTCTATAAGAAACAAAGGGACGACGACAAGAAAGAGCCGAGCGGATCAAATAAACGTTTAGTTCAAAAAGATGCTCCAGGAAGAGTAAGTTATTCAAGACATTGAATGCATGCTGGTTGCCAGTCATGTAAAAAAAGTTCAACACCTTTTTTGTTGTTGGAAACTTATTATATCGGGGTTTTCTCTTGCAGAGTTTAACAATAAGCATTGAGCCAAATGACAATGGAATGTACGAGTGTGACATTTGCAATATGCAATTCAGGCAAATCTCGCTATTATTCAGCCATCGCAATAAAGTGCATGTTTGACGATAATCTCAGATCATTTTAGAAAAAAGTCGAATAAGCCATTTCTATATCATTTTATCTGTCTTCTTTATTTAAATCATAAATTGAATTCTCATGTTCATAGTTTTTCATATTTAGACATTTTATTATTATTTCTGTTTCCTCTGTAGCAGATAATTTTTATTCTAATTCAATGTATACTTAATTGTAATTTGCCATGCATAAGAAATAAAAAAAAGAGAAACATTTTTTCTAGAAATTTTTTTACAACGTTTTTTTCTTTATTATCATGTTTACCGACAAATGTGTCTAAATTGTGTTGAATTTTTTGTTTGTTTGTTTTATATTTCTCTTCATCCAATGTATTGCTCGCCAGATTAAAATCTCTCATTTCAATATGTGTTGAATTCCCCAAACGAAAATTATTTACAATAATTTGTTTTTTTTAGTTTTGTTTAAATCCCTGCTAAATTCAGCTCTCTGATATAAATCGCATTCAAATGTGTTCCGATCAATCAATCAACGTTCGATGATACATATATACACATAAACAATTAAACGCATGCAAACAAGTGATGCGAGAAGAAAATGAAAACAGGTTTTTTACAACTGATTTTTGTGAATCGACGTTCGAACGGCACAAGAATTTAAAAAAATCAACTATGTTGTTTTTGTTGTGTTTTTTTTTTGCTCTGATTAACTAAAAACAATCGATCACTGCACTGGTGTTCAGTGAACGTATTACAAGTTATCTGTTGTTTTTGTGCCAAAAGCAAAGTGTTTACTCTCTTTCTAATTCAAATAAATACTTTGTTAAGCTGTCAATAAAAACCAATCTCAAAAAGGAGAACCGGTGTGCTCAGTGTTGAACAACATTGAATTTATCCCGTATTGTATCTAGCTGCCCAGTGATGGCGATGGTGGTGGTAGTGGAGGTGATGGCAATTTATCAATCAATTCGTGACGGTTGTGGCTTTTGTGGGGCTTTGATCGTTTTTCGTGCTACTCATCGAATGTTTGCACGGTCCCAGTGAATTTGTTGCAGCGGCGGCCGGTTGCGTTGTTCCATTTGTATGGTAGTGTGGTTGCATTGAGCTGCGGTTTTCGGAGGACGATGACGACAGCGTGCATTGCGCATACGATGGAATATTTTGACTTTGTTCGTAATTCTGTTGACGTATGAAGGGAGTATTCTAATTTAGAATCATATTAATGTTTTCATGAATAATTATTCCTTACGGGCCGAACATTTTTACTACTCAAAACTAATCTCGCTTTTACACGAGTCACATAATGCGACCCGAATCCGCATTGCTGCAAATGTCGGATGACCGAATGTGAAAACTTACTTGACTTTTTGTTATTGTATGGTAGCACGGGCCACACAAACGGACTGGCGTAAATAGACGCTCATCGGGCAGCGCTGCCCAATACTCGGAACAATCGGCACAGAAGATTTGTCCACATGATCTATACGATATAAATAAATATTAGAAGCATGAAAATAAAGGGGAATCAAGTTGAAATTGATTGGAAACTAACCGGCAATGATGTTTTCGCCGTCCAAGCCAGAATTCCGTTTGACAGCTGGTGCAAATTTTCACCGCATGATCCGGTACCCATAAAACACTTGACGATATCGCATTCGTTGAACTCGCACCCGATAGTGGTCCGCTCCGTTCATCGACCGCTTCCCACGAACAAATCGACACGTTCTCCACTCCATTGTCAACCATTGAGTTCTAGAAAAAAAGCGAATCAATATTTGGAATGAGTAAAATTTCGACATTTTTCTCTAATTCTATTCATATTTTTTAGCGAATAAATTCGCGATACATTCAAGCAACTAAGTAACATGCACGGAAAAAGCCACCTCCCTTTTTACTTCATGCAAAAAAAAACCACAACAAAGATATAAGAGTAAAGAGTAAAGATTTTTAGATCAAAACTTTGATTGACCCGAGAAATCGTACATTTGTATTAGCATCAGCTTCAAAAAACGCATGCAATTGTTATGTTTGACGCAAAATTACTTTTTGCCATAGTAGTATTTGTCTACATGAACTTCCCCATTTAAATGACACGTGTAATAATTATTTAATGACTCAATCAATTTTACGAATTGGTTAGAGCTTAGAGGTTTTGCTTCCAGGTTCAAACAACCAACAATTCTACCAGAAAAAAAAACTAGGTTAAAATTTGCAAAAAATCAAAGAAGAAGAAAAAAAGAGAATAAAATCGCTTGTAAAATATGCAACTAACCGCCGACTTTGAGCTGGCCCAACTGTATGTTTTTGGCAACAAAGCAGTTGATGGGCCTTCTGAGCTTTGTCGTGATCTCACTGAACCGCTATAATCAGACTGTGCCACTAACGATTCATCATCGTCATCCTTTTCATTTCATTCCAAAATCAAATCATTCATTTCATCGTTGGTCCAACATTTCAATTTTTGTGATATATCATTTTTCAATCGTTTTATTTTCATTTGCGTAACATTAAGCAGTTGGTTTTTTTTTTGTTCGGTTTGTTTTATAAATGAACGGAAAAAAAGAAGAAAGGAAGAAAGAAACAAAATTAAAGAAACTTGATTTATACAGACAAAAAAAAAACAAAAATCAAGAATAAAAACATGATCCCGTGAACAAAAATTTTAAACTTTTCCTATGGATTTCATCGCATACGGTTCACAGAAAAAAGTATGCTCGTATTTAGGACGTTCTAGAAAACGCGAGACGGCATTTCAAACTTCATCCGTTGAAGAAGAAGAAAAAAATTGGATGAACACAAGTTAAGGCGGTCAATAATATCGATAAACCGAAAGGATAATGAAAAAAATATAGAACGATTAGAACGATTAAACTGTATGCAATAACATGTGGATAGAGAGAAAACGCAAATAATTTTAATTTATAGTATCTAAATTGGTGCAAAATGAGCTAAACTAAAAACTGTAAACATTAAGTGTTCTCTTAACCGCCTCGTTTAAAAGAACTTCCTTTCATTATTTTCTTTCTATTTAGAGTAAAAGGAACAAGTGCTTGAAAGAGTGTGAGGAAAAGTGTAAGGCAACAACTCCGAATATGTTTTTCTTGGACTTACTGTTTCGTCGACAACATTTGATGTTGTGCCATTGTTTGTTTGGCCATTGCTGCAATTTGAACAGGAACGTTTTCGCAGGAGTGCCAATCGCAATGCTTGAAGCTCCTTTTGCAGTGCTTCTTCGCGAATCTAGTTGGAGATTAGTTCAAATTAATTGTACAATTTTTCACTTGATTACGCATTTCAAACGGTCACTCACCTTATGTTCGTGCACAATTTGCTGTAGTCTTAGGTTCTGTTCGCTGAGAGCGTGCGCTAATCCGTCCGGACACGAAATCATCGAAATATTTGTGGTTTGCGATGGTGTGTTGATCGTTCGAATCGATGTGGGCTGCGCGGTGGTCACGCTTCGTGATGTAGTATTATTTGGTAGTACAAATTTTGAATTCATTGTATTTGGTGAAATGCTATCGGAACGTACATTTGATGTGGTTGTCATATCAGCGATGCACGGAGGTGGTTTTGAATTGTTCGAGTTACGTCTACGTCGATACAGTGGCATCGTCGTTACAATTCCATTACCATTTCCATTTGGCACAGGTGCTGTAGCTGACATTAATTGATTGGAATCGCTTCGATTCCCATTCAGAATTTCCATTCGTTGTTGCTCTGGCTGAATCAAAATGCTCTCATCCATTGCATCCAACGCATTATCATTTGGAAGTGCTTTCGATTTGGTGTGTACTTCGGGTAGAATACGCGGTCTACTACGATCACTGTCACCGTATAATCCCATGCCATTTTCACTTGGAGCTGATTCTTTTGAATGTGAAGTAATAACAGCCGTCGAGAGTTCGCAGCGTATTTGTTCCTCGGCCAATTCCGAACTAAGTGTATCAACAGGAACTAGAGTGTCTGTGCTGGTTTCGATATTTCCATGCCATTGTGACTGTGCGGCCATCGGTGAGGATGACAGTGGAGAGGTGTCTGTTTGAAGAAAAAAAAAGAGTTTTTTTTAGTAAATTGTTCAATGAATTTTTGAAGAAGAAACGGAAAAAAATGGATTTTACCTCTCAAATCGACACTTTGCAGCATACACATTGCCACTCGATAATCTTCATCCCTTGATCCCTCGCTACTCACTCTCCCATTGACACTTTCACATCGTTCATCCTTATTGTGCTGTAAACTATTCGCCGACACTCTACCGTCATCGCCCATATTATTCTCTAAATGTTTATTGAAATGAGTATAAAATGGACTAGAATCAACGACGTCACAATTTAAATTACCAATCTCGGTTTCAGTACAACACAATTGGTCTGTAATCGGTGTACTATTGTGATAGGGTATCGCATAATTGTGATCAGCAATGGAGCTATGAGCATTTGATTGACTATCTTCAGGAGATTGAACACTTGCAATTGCATCGTCATGAACACTTTTTCTTGAACTCAACGCCGTTTCCATAAACCTACTACTGTTAAAACTACTATTGATTTGATTCATATTGTGATTGGTGGTGTCACGAACTCTGCTGCCACCGCCACCAATCTCCCCTAAATCGGTCTGTTGAATTAAATCCTCCGTTAAATTATTCAACTCTCGAACTGTATCACTGCAAAAATTTGCAATTGTTTGATCGTTTATCACATTCGTATCGACTACATTGGCTCCATTGGCATAGAATTCCGGCAAGGTTTCGATTGACGGTTCCGTTGATAGATTCATATTGAAACTGTACGATGGAAATGATTAAAATGCAATTTGAGCAAGGATTGTTTTGTTATCGATAGCAAAAATAAAAATCGACTTAGTCCAAAAATACTCACTGCGCATCTGCAGTCATATTCGGATCACTTGAACGACGAATCATTCCATTTGAAATGCCATTGCATCCGGCTGTTTGTAAATCACCATATGAACGTGTTTTTATCATCGGGCTGCGTGGTTCCGAATTGGAAATATCATTGGTGCTGGGTGTTACAATTGATGTGCCCACGCTAGCCGTTGCCACGGCAACCGGTACCGATGACGGTGAAATGCTTGTTGTCATCGAACTATCACTCTGATTTTGGTTGCCAAAACTGCTCGAATACACTTCCGCCCAGTACGATAAATTGCTTGGATGATATGCCGGCCACAATACTTGTTCGCGATTTGGTATATAGAGCGGATTTTTGTACATCGGTCCAGAGAGAAAAGGCCACACCGAATAGGTGCGATCGAATACGGAATTTTCGATGCGCTCTTTGTACGTGTTGCATAGAAACGTGCCAAACATACACGAAAACACGTGCTGTGCCAGTTTTATCTGGTTGGAATGGAAAAAAAAGGAATAAAAACAATGGAAATTATGGTTGTTTCATATAAAATTTGCCATAGTCATAGTTACATACCAAATAAGCCATGCTAAATTCAAAACTACATGGAAATTGTTTTTGAATTTGATGTACACAATCCAACCATTGCAAAAATACGGGGCACCGTTCGTTTGTTTCATCCGAACCGGGACCATGACCAATGCGATCGGCAAATTTGTGACCAAAACTCAGCCACTCTCGTTCGACTAGAACCCGAAACCCGTCAACTGTCCGATAGTATGGATCCAAACATAGAAGTGCGGTTGATACGAGCTGCGGTGTTCGATCCCATCCGTCGGAGCAGTGAACGATTGCTGAACGACCTTCACGCTCAACGGCATGACATATTCGCATCGCTGACTGCATCAAACCAGCCAAATGTGATAACCACATGGTTCGATCCAGAGCTGTGAACCAACTGCGAACAAACGAATGAAAAACAATTACACAAAATTAATACTTAGAAAAATACTAGCAACAAGATCATCGTGCTACCTCTGTGAATCAGTGGGTGATGCAGCGAGTGCGCGTAAAGCATGAAAACTTTTCCGTATCACATGAATATTACCCAAGTTCATGAACTCAATCGCAGCGCATGGATAGTATTCGGCACATTCACAGCCTCCGCCTCTGGCTCGATTTGTTACAGCCGAAGCATATGATCGTGCATCGACGATTAAAATTTTCTTCACTTCATCCATACACATTTCCTCATGACTGCCGTCCGTACTGCTGGTCTCACTTGCGTTTGCATTATTATTTGATCCCTGTCGCCGGCCCAGCTCACCGCCATCGAACGCACATGCATCGGCGATGGCTTTCAATAGTTGTTCATCTTTGGGATTTCTCCATCCCAACCAACCGACTTCCGGTTGACTACACCTTCCAACTACAGCACCGGACGCTTTGTGCCTCCACACCACTGCCGGTATTCGTCGGGCACTTCGAAAACTCGCCACATTTGTTAAAATTTCATCGGTGATGCACATTGGTACTAGCAAAAGGCGCGGATACGATGGACACAATTTGAAATCAATATTAATGGTTGATATTCGCCACGATGTGCTTGTGTTAAATTCCAACCGTCGCACTTCTCTTCGGAAGTCTTCGTCGTAATTGTTGGCCCGTTGCATGCGCCCGAGCCATTCATTATCGGCATTCGATGGTTGCTCCGATGCCCATGCGTAATATGAAAATGCAAACAATGTTTCTAAACTCGTCGGAACACCAACAGCTAATGTTATTCGTCGTTGCCACTCAGACGCTTGTTCTGATGTGGGAAATGTGCATCTGAAATAGCGAGAACCAATTAGTTTCATTTCATATGTCAAAATCGCGTCGATTGGCATACCTAAAGGTACTGGCATCTTTACAGCTAACCACTAGTTGAAATAAATCGCGTACGGATACGTATTCAATGACACCGAGCGGTATTGAGATTTCTGTGTCTGGCGCTGATGTCTGTGGTGATTTCAGGCAAATTCTATAATTTGATAAAGCTAATACTCCGTCATCCGTTCGGCCAATATAACGCACATATTCACCAGCCACTGAAAAAGACACGGAAAAAACAAATTAGAACTCATACAAATATCTGTCGACATTGTTTTTTGTTATATGAAGAGCAAGAATTTTAATAATGATAGAATGACAAATTTTTGGAGGTTTTTTTTCATGAAGATAAGTATTTCATTTCATTTCTTACATAAACCCTTTTTCTATTATCAAATTTATGACAAAATATTTGTCCGCTATTGCTATTATTTTCCATTTTGACTTACGTTCGGTGAATGGGACTTTCAATGATTCGTCTTCTTTTTGTGGTTCTGGTTTGGGGAATAATTCAGCTGCGCGAACCATGCACAACGAAGATAATGGTGAACCGTCCCCTTCCATTATGACTTTCTGTAAGCGAAAAAGAAAGAAAAACGAATGAATAAAAGCAAAAAAGAAATTCAAACGGAATACACGCGAAAAAATGTGCAAAAAATTTAAAAGGAAACACACATTTGAAATTCTTTTCAATTTAATCGCCACTCGTATAAACAACTTTTTCATTATGGCAACAAACAATATGTATCAGTGCAACTGAATGTTTCAGGTTAACGGAAATCACTGTGCGTGCTCTCTGCTCCCGATATACACAACAATAATCGATCAATTAAAATGAAAGTCGACGCATTTTTTCCGTGCGACTAGAACTTTTATAATGAAATCCACTCGATCGTTCGTTCGTTCGTTCGTTCGTTCGTTCGTTCATCACATCTTGTTTGTTCAACACAATAATAATCAGGTTGAGCTCATTCGATTTTCAACAATATACTGTCACTATTTCTGTTGAATATGCATGTTTGTGGTGGCACGGGTCAAGATGGTCAAATTGATTTCGTGCGTGTTGTATGTACAATGTACATTGTACATTGGAAAATAAAAACGCTTCTTAAGTCACACTCGAACAGTGTGTCTTGTTTTTTTTTTCGTTTGTTTGTCTGTCTATTTTTAATGGAAGTAATCACAGTTGTAAATAGAAAAAAATTGCTTCCCGAGCAAAAGTCATGAACTAGAAGAAAGAAGAATTGAAAATAAAAATGAAAAAAAAGATTTTGACAAAGACGAGATTCGAACTCGCGCTCTTTCGAACTGGTGCCTAAAACCAGCGCCTTAGACCGCTCGGCCACTTTGCCTACATCTAAACCACGGGTAAATTGCCATTTATTATGACAATTCAACGTTGCGATAAGATACTGTTGAAAGAACAAAATGAAAACGAGACAATTGACAAGATAATTGAACACGCGGAACGTTGGCACTAAAAAAAACTAAGGATAGAGAATGACTGTGGGCAACATAATCTGCGGGGGGGGAATTATTTTAATGAGATTTTGCTGATATCACAGATGAAAAAAATCGAAAAAAGATAATTGAACACCAAAAGAAAGTGCGTTGTAAAAATGGCGAAAAAATATGATGTCAGAAGTGGGATTCGAACCCACGCCTCCGAAGAGACTGCAGCCTTAATGCAGCGCCTTAGACCGCTCGGCCATCCTAACATATGAATGCTGAGCGTGTCTTTTGGAACGAAATTTTTACATCGAATTTACCTCAATAATTGATGTTATTTATTTAAATGAGGAGAATCCACCTGTTTTATCACAAAATAAACAAAACTGTTGTTCAGCATTAGTGGTTGATCAAGGTTGACGCACAAAAAAGATGGTACACATTTCGTAAACAATTCAAAAGCTCACAGTTTCTTATTACAAAGTTAAAACATTCAGTTTGAATATCAGCTGTTGTATGAATACAGGGACAATAAACTTATGTTTTTGAATGATTGAAATTCAGTGTTAATTAATGCTAGAATAGTTTTGTTTCAATAAAATATATCAATATATCAATTCTTGTTGATATAAATTTCGATTCAATATGAAATAGAAAAGGAATGAAAGTTGATCGTGAACCAATATACTGATAACGGTGAATTTCAAATGCACGACCCATTGAAAAAGAAAACAAAATATCAGAACTGATATTAAATATCAAAAATGTCCATACAGCTTTCAATCATTAATATCTACGTTATTCAATTTCTTTGGTTCAGTAAAGTTGATTTGAATAAGAATTATACACGTTGTATGTGTTAAGAATGAAAAAGACAAGCTTTGCCAAAGAGTTAGGTAGGAAAATTACACGTTGGACGATTGATTTTTCGGTGAACTACATGCATTTGACGCTAATTCGTACACATCGCATACATTTCGCTATGTTAACGCAATATGTGGTACTCGGTAGGAAACGTACGTTTCACGCTGTACGAAAAACACGATAATATCTCTCCAGCTCGAACAAGTTCATAAACATGGTTTGTTATGACGATTGTCACAGCTATATCGAATGTGCGTAATATAAAAATAGATCGGCATGTGCTTCGAGTACGTATAACACTGCATTGAAACGCACGATACTCATATGTTAGGATGGCCGAGCGGTCTAAGGCGCTGCATTAAGGCTGCAGTCTCTTCGGAGGCGTGGGTTCGAATCCCACTTCTGACATCATATTTTTTCGCATTTTTTTTCTTTCAGCGCACTTTTGTTTTAAGAAGTGAGATTTCATATTTAATTAATTTCTTTTTTCCGTTGAGTTTTTAATTTTATTCTTCGTAAACGACATTGCGTATATAATGAATCATTATAGAAGATGATAAAAAATGACATTTTTTCATTGGAGAAAATGTGACGAGACTGGAAATAATTAGGAAGTAAATTCAAACTCAACTTCATTGTTTTTTCATGCAGACAGAAAAATTATTGTCTCTAGACAAAATAATTATTTTTTCTCTTCACATATCATCGTTGATTTTAGTTTCATAAAAAGATTAATTAATGATGGCAATTTGCAATAAGAAATTTGCCAATGAAAATTTTTGATTTGAAAATTAATCAAATCAAATCTCATTGATATTATAATAGAAAAGATGTGGTTATGTTATCAAAAAAGCACACCATTCGATCTTTTACTACCGGTAACTGGAAGTATTTGTGATCACACAACCACTATACATTCATGTGTCAGGATGGCCGAGCGGTCTAAGGCGCCAGACTCAAGATTAATCGTCTTGCTCATGTAGAATGAGTCTTCTGGTCTACATCTGTAGGCGTGGGTTCAAATCCCACTTCTGACAAAATATTTTTTTTCTTTTTTTCAGTAATTTTTTTTTGGATTTCTCGAAAAACAGCCTTTGCTCGTTTAAAAAAAAAAACGAATAGAATTAAAATTAAAATTTAATTTGAAAAAAGAAAACTATTGAGCTCATGTCAACGAATACATGGGTGTCCGTCTGATGTCGGTGTGCGTTATACAATCTAAATTATTTTTATCATTTCAATACCAACAGAGCGTTAAAAGTGTGACTGATTACGTGTTTGTTTCGTTAATAACACGGTGGCGCGGTGAGCACAACACAGAAGCGCTTAACCTACAAAATGAAACAGTTCCACTCTAATTCAATGTAAATAGCGTGCTCAACACAAACACACTCACACACACGAGCTCAACAGACACCGAAACAAACACTATCGCTGATAACACGTAGGTATGATGAACCTTTCGTTCTAGCTTCAAAACAAACAATGACATAACAAACGGCGATATGGAAAAGGGGGCCAAAATGTGTGGCGCGTGCAAAGCAAATGCAGCAATGTTTTCGTTATTGGCGTCAAATTGTGTATAATATTGAAAGCCCAACATGTCAGTTAGTTTACGAGTGAAACTACAAAAGAATGTGATGTGCTAACGGGAAATTCTTTGTTGACGCAGCTCTTGCAATCTCCATTGACTTATCTGTGGTGAATGTCATGGAATGAATTGCAATGAACATTTTAATAACGTATCGACCTTCTATCGGGTGTTCGATTGAGTCAATCCATCAATGCTTTTCATAACAACATTTGCTATTAATTTCTCTCTCTGGTTTACTTCGGCTTTATTTTGTGTTTCGGTGTGAATACTCTAGAATAATTGTTCGTGTACGTGTTGTTATTCGCGTTGAAGTGGTGCAACAGCAATTTAATATTTAACGAGATTGTTCACTGCTTTGCCGTTTTGTGCCAGACACTTTCTTCGCTTTTTCATATTTTGTTTTCGTATAAAGACGTGAACAACAACAACTACATGCGCATCGCCGTGCGCCAGTCTAGTCTCTCTGCGTATGTTTGTGGAAATTGTTTTTCAAATGCATGGACATAAATTTCTCTATTTTTTCAAGTTATTTACACTCTCTTGTTTGATAATATCAACACCAATCGATTATTCTGCTGAACATATTAATTGTTCTTCCCTCATTCTTTCTTTTCATTATATCGTTTTAGAACGGGTCGCGCGGCGGAACTATTCCATATAAGCCAGTTTCTGTGTGTTTTGCCGTTAATAAATGCAAAAATGTTCAATTTATATTCCAAATGAAATTTTATCAATTAGTCATTGAGCGGCGGCTATTTTATCAACACATTTGTCGTGAGGATCACATTTAATTGCATATTTTAATTTCATTTCCAAGAACTGAGCAAAGAATGACGTGCGTATGTGTGTGTCTGACCGAGAATGCAATGAATTTTAAATATATACAGGTTATTGTAACATGAGCAACACATTAACCTAAAAATAGAAAGGGAACGAACGAACCAACAGACCGACCGATGAAATGAACAACAAAGAAAAAAAACGGCGACTGCACACGAAAAATTCGATACGATATTTGCATAAGGTTAAAAAATCGAACTGAAACACCACATTTTAATGGATAAACTTCATTGTGCTGCCGTTCAATAGCACTCGTTCGATTTACGCTTCCACGTGATTGAATTGCAAAATGGAAAAGGCTCTAGTGGCGGATATTTTTTTCCCTTTTCTTTTCGGTTGTACACAATTTAAAATTCAATTCGACGAAATGTATTCTACTCAAAATTGAAGCCCATGTCTAAAAATTTCATAACGAAAATCCGAATTTTTCATGTGTGGTTACGTAAATTTTATAGCGGCCATATGGTTTGGAATATACAATTATACATATTGCTTTCGTAAATATATTTTCAGTGAACTTTCAATGTGAAAGTGTGATCCATTGCAATCAAACCAAACGCCTCAGCTGGCACATATAGCCGATATCGACTGGAAGAAATGTAAACTTGAAAATTCATTTGAAATCCGATAAAATTCCATTTCCGATGAAAATTCCGAATGGATTATCGAGTTTATCGGTTGCCATTCAAACCGAAGTAACACTGCTCTAACAATTTATTTTACGAAATTGATTCCACACGAATGGTGTAATGTAAAAGGAAATTAAAATTGTCTGATAGAACTTCTATCACATGTTGGGGTGATATGAAATTGAAAGCGTGCACACATACATTGTTCACCATTGAATTGTCTATTTTTGGCAACTGTTCTATATATTTCAGCTTATTTTCACATGAAAATTGTGCCAATCGTATTGATGACATCAGAACTGTGCCAATTTCAAGCCGAAACACTATTCCGAATAATCTGGACTTTAAATACATTTTCGTCGATGAGAGAATGAGCGACGAAAAATACAAACCAACAAAGTAATCACTTTTTTTATTTTTTATTGTTGCAAAGGTTGCCAAAATGCAGTCTATTGCAAAGAAAGAATGAGGCGAACGCACACCGAATAAAATAAATAAAATAATGAAATAATTACATTTTAATTATGGTAATTGCGGGCTAGGGGAATATCACGCTCCTGAATCTTGTGGGATATTTGAGATATTTGAAATAAACATCAATCGTATGACATATTTTCGAATATTTCGAATAAATAAATCAGATTTTTGTGGATTTTGGAGATATTTGAGATTTTTTGCATTAAATCTAAATAAATACATTTAAATATCATTCATAATCACAAAAATCCAAAATATTCCGCCGTATTCACAAATATTCCGCCATATTTCATACGACAGATTCTTAGAGATAAATTGGATTTTTTTGAAATATTTGAAATGATTTAAGCGTGATATTCCCCTAGATTGCGGGAGAGAAGAAATGTGCTAAAACATGCTTCCAAACTGTCGATAGGTACAAGTCAAAGGTGAGAAATATAAATAGTACATTTAATTTTGCAAGTTTTCTCTTTTGTTGTTCAATTACAACAAATTGCTTAACCCACAGATGCAATTGATACACTATACATGGTGGTATGTGTTGGGAAAATAGTGTTTGAGCTTCGTGTTTTCTTTCTCTGGAAAACAAACATAGAGCTCTGTCTGTCTCTAGTTTTCGCCATTTTTCTTTCCATATGTGCCTCTTTCATTCGCACAACCAACGTTGGTTTCGTGCGAGTATCACAGCAAAGTTGTAACGTAATTAAGTTCAAAATACTGTTTTCACTCGAATAATTCCGAGCATCTTCGAAATGCTAGATAAGACCGATGATCTTATTGAGCCAAGACATGTTCGACGATGAAAAATTACTTTGTGTCGTTGTACCAAGACATCAATTAATGCAAGTGGGATTTTGGCAAGTTG